CCGTATCGCTGCGCTAAGGGCGGTGCGTGTGCTTAGAGGCTCCATGCCTTTCATTCAAGCAGCAATAAAGTTGTTTGGCTCGATCCAACTTTATGAAAGTTAAAACTGGTTTGTCTCCCCCCCCCCTCCCGCTTCTCACACCTTATCTAGTTTCTACATTCTTCCCACTTCAGTAGTCAAAGTGATTGAAAAGCCGAAAACTGAGCAGATCCATTCCTCCAGCAACTTTCCTCACATTTCTCATTTACCATTTTATCAAACAGGCCCTTTGTCTGCGCAGTCCCCTGATGTTGCCTCTGTTACACGGAGATATTCTTCAGGTCATGTGGGTTAAAAGGGGGCTAAAAAGGAGATCATATTGGACTTGCTTTACACAGACATGTAGCATTAGACCCCACGTCCAATAGAGGAAAGATATACTACTCCTATTTGATGAGCAGCAGGCCAATAAATTCATTAATCATCATTTTATGCCTCATCAAACACTTCCCAAGTTCCTCCATGGGAGTTATACAAATTAGCCACTGAAAAGGCAGTAATTTTAGTTTAGCTAGGTAAGTGCTTTTTGATTGCCTTCCTGAACAATGCTTCCCTTGACAAGCTAATAAATCAGCCCTTTCTGAATCAGAAGTGCAGCAAGTGCGAACAATAACTCCACATAGTTTCTCCGCTGATTTCAGCTGGAAAGGCCTGAGAGGATGATCTGGGATCAAAGTCTCTTACTTTATTGCAGAGCGAAAGCTTTCTTTATGAAGAAGAGCTAACGGGGGGGGAGGGGGCTTTTTTAATCAATTAATGAGCATTAAAAAGGTCTTTGAAACAAAAAGCAGGGCTAAGGCTCCCCCTGCAATGACGTCAGATGACCTTGTGCGTGGCGGGGGCCAGCGCTCAATCTCATCGCGTTGTTCTGGGGAAGCGGTAGCAATATCACAAATGTATCCCTGCTGGAGCGCTGTGAAATATATTCCGTGTGAGCCAGGTGGACAGGTGAGGGGTGGTTGCATAAATCTAGAGGCTGCTGTTGTCAGGAGTAACAGATTACCCGGGAAAATCGTAATAGAGACTGTATTTAATCTGCGACCAATTGATTCCTTGAATGTTTCAGGTATTTGTAGTGTAGGTTTAGATTTGTTGGGTGGCTTTCCAGTGAAAAGCCTGGAGGGTGTGCAGTCTTATCTTCTTTTCAAATTGCTGCCTTTGACGGTATCATCCTATTTTTTTAAAAAAAAGCTTGGCCGTAAATCATTTCACTAATCAGCTGTCACCAGCCAACATGCAGACATTGGCATTCAGCCGGAGAATTTGTTTTGGAAGGCCGTTAGCAACCAAAACTATGTTTGTATCAATAACCGTCTGTTAATGTCTCATGCATAAGGATGTAGAACACGCAGAAGAAACAAGGAAAGACAGCATTAAAGGGGAACAATTTGGGGGAGGAGGGTATTAATTGCCTGTTGAAGCAAATCCCTTCCCCACGTAGGCTAAGGTAGACTAATTGCCTGGAGCAATTACTCTATTAGAAAAACCGCAGGGTTTAGTGATTTCAGTATCAATAGAACGCTCAGCTACAGCTGAAGGGAAGTGAGTGAACACGTGCAAGGTGCTAAGTTCCAATAGTTTAACAAAGGGTGTTGCTGATTCCCCTTCTCCAAACACCACTTGTCCTAATAAGCGGCAAATAATTACTCTGCTCAAAAGTGGTAAAGGGTAGGCGTCCTCTCAACTAGTCTAGACCCAAGGTATTTTAAGTACAGTGTGTCTCTTCTCCTCTTCATTAACTTTCCTTCCACACATCACTGCATGCCTCTGAAAATAACTTGGCAAACTGGGAGCCCGTTTATCTCTTTTATCTTGGGACCTGATCCAATTAAATAAGTGTACATTTAAAGTTGTATCCATCAAGCATGAGTGTGGGGAGTTCTGTGGTTTGCTTTAAGCAAATAAGTCAATTTCAGTGGGAGAGAGGTTTCTGGACAAAATATACCAGCTTATAAGGTGACTTTAGAATCCCCTGCAGTGAAGGTGGGAGGCAAAAAAGATTTGCAAGTAATACCGTGGAACAGGTGAAAGTCAGCACACGGTGTCTGCAAAGATGCTCGTTAACCAAAACACCTTTTTCATAAGTCTACAGAAACCAACACAAACGAAGAAAAGAGAGATGATTATTCCACAATAGCCTGCATCAACCAAGCAGACCTGTTCTCAGAACACTCTTTGCAAGTTCCAACATGCTCTAATTATAACAGATGAGTAACAGTGTGGTAAGGACATTTATTTTCTGGTATTTGGGGCGAACTGATTTCTGAAGCTTTTACAAGTAGTCTATCAAACCACTAGAGTTCCTTGGCATGAGGTTTACTGTCAGTCAAAAAACACTGAAGGCTTTCCAAACACAAGGCATTTATTTATTTTAAATCGATGGAGTCAACGTACAGAACATTAAGTCTGGATCTTTACTTGTCTTGCTCGTATGGTTCTGCCACTGGAAATACACCAAACCTGCTCTCTTTAAAAAAAAAGGGGGGGGGGGTACGGAAGAAGAGTTAGCCAACAGAAAACAAAGGAAGGAACAGCTTCCTTAAATTAGTGCCACCAAAAGGCGCAGAATTTGTCCTTCGATTCTCAGCCTGTTTGTAGAAACGTTGTACATTTTGAACGGAAGCAATGAAAACTCAGTTAAATAATCATTTGGCTGCCTCTCTTACGTGTTTCTGTAAACTAACCGTAAAAATAATACAGATTGCTTTCATCTGAGGCAATTAAGACAATTAAACAAATCCACCACCCTCAAAGAAACTATCTACAGCCAAGTAATGCTGTTTCCTGGAGTATTTTCTGGGGGTGGCAATATACCTGTAGGCCAAACTAATACACGTTACAAAAATCAGCTAATTGTCTCCAAAATGTTTTAAAACACTGTATATAAAATCAGAATGAGATAAACCCTCTGATAGATCGGGGTCGCTAAAAAATTAGTTCAAAACGCTGGTTGCTGGTAGTTATGGGTTGGAAACTCTTTCCAAATCCCCGAGTCTAGTTTCCCTCTTTAAAACAAACAAACAATAGGTTGGTTAGTGATTTAGCCCGTTTTGAGAACCTTGCGAACCCCCCAGTAGAATCTCAGCGGTTCGAACTGAGCACGGTTTTAGAAACTCTGGTCCCAATCCTGCTCCCCTGGAAGCTGGCAAGGACTTCCATGACTTCAGGATTGGGTCGACTGGGCCTGATCCCGCGATCCTTTAGCATTCAACACTTGTCCCTGCGATCATGGGGAATGCTGGGTCCGAAAGGATCAGAGCCTATTCCCGGTCCCTTATACAATATAACCCAGGGAGGAGCAATAGCAGGTTTGAAAGGAAGGTTGCGCCTGTTTTTGCCAGCGAATGCATAGACCAGTGTCCCGTGAAATAACGTAAGTAACTATTGAATAACGTAACGTAAATAGGGTAAAAGTAGTGAATAACGTAATCAAACTATTGAAACCAAACACATTTCGAGCGAGGGGGGAAATCCCCAGTGGTGAGTTAGTACTAAATGACTCGATGCAAATAGATGTTGTCTATAAAGCTGAATCGAATTTCTATCTCTGATTCAACAGAATGAGTTGGGTAGCGTGGGATGGGGTTACAGTTTGCTACTGCGCTAACTTTTTCTTCTCGAAGCCTGCTGCTGGGTGATAGTGGCAGGGGTATTAACCGTTGGCAGCGCGTTTAAAGTGCATGTCTAGGCGTGGGTTTCGTTCTGTTCTGCTAACCTGAAATAAATCTGTACAATGGTAAATCTTCGCTTTGTCATTTATTGCACGAGACCGATTCTGCAGTCCTCCCCCGGGTAAGCCTCTGCAGGATTGGGCCCCACGTGTCTGCAGGACGGATCCCTTTAAACGAGAGGGGAGCTGGCGCTCTCAAAAATCAGAAGAGTGAGCAGGGGAAGGAGACATCGCGCAGAGGGTACATTAGACAGTAAAATGCAGCGCTTATTAATAGGAGCTGTCTGGTTTAATGAAAGGATTTTGTTACTGGGCAGCAGCTTTCTTATGAACCCTCAAACAGCTGCAAGAATCGTGTGCAGCCTTTACCCACGAGTAGAACTCTGAGATTTAGGGAAACCCGGGGCTCTGGTGTTTATTTTTGTTACCTTTGTTTGTTTTTATGGTTAAGCTTTTCTCACAATCTATTTAAAGTAGCAGTCGGTGTAATTGCCCTCTCTCACTTCACCCAAACAAGTATTTATTCATAAATATTTGTAAAGCAGGTTTAAAAACAAAACAAACAAACAAAAACGAGGGGAGAGAGGGAGTTTTAAGTGCCTGATCATTAATAGTCAAGAACTTGCTTGGACAAATTTATTTTTAAAAATCCTGGCTAGGTACAGGGTAGAGGAATGCAGGGGGACAATAAACCATCTGTCAGTTACAGGTTCATTTCGTGGCTAGAAGTATCATTGAGGGAGAATGATTTATAGTGAATGTGATTTAGAAGATCTCAGCATAGACTTTGTCTTTGTCGGAGCCAAGTAAAAAGAAACAGCTGGCCTGAATTTTTAGCACCCATAATTAATTAAAAGCTTCATTCCTGGGATTTGATGATTCAATAAAGCAAGACCCTTATTCCCCTATGTGATTTCAGTGAATATCTACTCCACTCCAATTCTTTTGGGTCCCAAGATAGGGCAGATTAACGCTCTTTTTCTGTGGGAGAGAGGGCGAAAAATGCCTCAAGATTGCATCTGAGGCACACACAAAAGGTAAATTCAAAACTGCCACTTGTTCTCTGCAAAGGCTCCTTATTCTCCACCATTGATGTATTTGTGCCAGGTTTTAAAGAAACCAGAGGGGGGGATGAGGCATTAACATATTGCTCATTTGGAAAAACAGCCGGTTCTGTTTTTGGTAACACTTGTTCCACTGCCAGCCACAGATGTCCTTACTAATAATCTAAGCAAGTCATATAAAAAGGGGAAAGGGGAGGGGGAGGTCTCTTTGCACTTTCTGTGCTGAATTCGATTCCGCGCTGGAGACTAGGTTGACTCGAGTAGGTTTCTCTAGTGGTTTGTTAATGCAAAGCCGGACGTAAGAAACCTGACTTCTACATCTGCGTAATAACAATAATGAACAGCGCAGCGTTCTGTTTGTCAACAGAACCGAGCTGTCTGATTAAAGAGCCAAGCTGCCCGCAATCAACTGATTGAGTTGTGGGATTGGGTGTTTGGCTACCATTTACAGCATCTCGTCTGAGCCACTCTACCTTTTTGACCCATGTAAACTCCTTTTTTGCAGCCTATCTTCGATCAAGCCGATTCTGATGGGGTTCGTGGGTGGTGGTTGTGGTTTTTTTTTTAACATTCATACTGGCCAGATTTGGGGAGAGGCGGGGAATCAGTTTTAAACAATGATTCCTTTGCTTCCGAAATGAAGGCTACATTTATTTTCAATCGCCTTTTAAACCTGCTGACCAAGTGCATTTCCTTGCTCTAGAAGAGCTTGGAAGTCGTTCCTAGGCATGACCAGAAAATATTCTGTTTAGATCATCTTACCAAAGGAAGAGAGGGGGTAAAAAAAAAACTCTGTAAGCCAATTATATCAAAATATGCCTTCCACAGAAAGCTGTATGCTGTTACTGTAATCGCTCTCCGAGTAGTATTTGGTATGCTAGATGGCAGGACATGCTAGATGGTTAATAGAGACAATTGAAAAAGCAGCCATTGCAGGGAAAGCAGTTGGGTGTATGTAAACACGGTACAGTTTGCTGCGGATCAGAATTAAGGTTTGTTTTTGTTTTTCAAACGCGGGAGGAACCAGCAGAGTGCAGGATAATCCGAGTCTGTCAATGACTCTCACTGAAAAGCTGAACTTTATTTTGGGGAGGGAAAAGGAACAGTTCAATCCCAACTGACTCTCGGGTGAGGTAGCCTTGGATCTTTTCCAGCCAGCTCCTCTCAGCAAGAATAGATGCATCCTCCATCCCCGGGTTTTGTTATTGTTCAGTTTCCTAATGGACTTAACAAGTGAGTATTTGCTGTGGAAAAAAATATGGCGGCTGGGGTCCCATTATTGCTTAGTGTTATTGACCAGGCCTTTCATCAAAAGTACATCTCCGTGCCCAGACCCTTCCTGAAAGCGAACTCCAGGGTTCTCTGGAGGATGAGATCCCACGCCAGGGGCGGGTACGTCCATTAAAAGGAAAAGGGACATTGCTTTCCACAGGTGTGGGGGGGGCGGGGGAAGCTCGCTAAGCCCGAGCAGGTGAGTAGCTCCTCTGCTTTGGACGCTGTGTTCATTTGCAAATATGCTTTAGGATGATGAGGGGCAGGCACACCCCTCCCCCCCTTTGTAGCGGACAGCTGCCAGATGGGAAAGCCCCTCTCGCTGGAGCCTAGGGCTGTCTGACACACACACACACAAAGGGAACGGGTTAGGTGAGTTTCAAAATCAAAGCGAACTTTCTGTTCCCCCTGGATCGGACCTCGAACTAGGCAGCTCCCGCACTTCAGCATCCGGGGCAGTCCTAGGGTCCGCGCTGCATTTCTAGGGGAGTTTCTCCCTCTGCGCTTCCCCCCACCCCAAGCAGAAAAGGACCCGCAGCGACGCTACTTTACCAACCGCTTTTAACACCTTTAACCTTCCTGGGTTTACCTGCCCAGCAGTGCATTCGTTTGTATTTTCTTTAAGGTCTTGGCTAATTCATTTCCTAACGGCCTGCAGCTGAGGACTGGAGAAGTCAGTACACTCGTAGAGGCGCAAGTAGTACCCCAGTCTCTGGGATGGCTTCACCCACACCCTCCCCGAGTGGGTGCCTGCCCGTGGGCGAGTGCCCTGTCCTTACACGCGACCTGTGTGCCTGTCCCGGGGCAGCGGGGCCCCTGCCTACAGTGGGGGAGTCGCACGAGCCAGCGGACTGGATCCGGTTCCCGTTGGAGCTGATGGGAGTGTTGCCACGGATCGCGGGGAGAGCAGGATCGGGCTCCGAGCGGCTCTGTCTCCTTCCGCGGACAGCGGAGTCCTTCCTCTCCAGGCCCCGCACGTGCGCACCCCCAGACCCGCAGCGACCTTCGGCTCCAGCGTGGTTCTGAGTTCCCGCAGGACCAGCAGGGCGCTCCTTGGGACCAGGGCAACATCCGGCAAAGTTGGGCGAAGTTAAGTCGCTCCTGCTGGAGATCTTGCCTAGCTTAACCTTCTTGCCCCTGGCCTTGCGGTAAAGTTGCGCCGCAGAGGAAGGAACCGACGCCACTGAGAGCGGGAGGGCTGGGGATGGGGAAATCTGGTTTAATGGGAATTAATTTGAAACCCAAAGTGCGAATCTTTTTTGAGTTTACCAGAGAGTTGGCAGCATCTCCGACTTGCTGTTTGACATGCTTTTACCTGGCCAGCAGCGTGTTACTGAAGAGTGCTCTGTGTTCTAGGCGTGTTTCACACGGAACAGCGCTATAAAATACACCAACCACTCGCCTAATCGGCCTGGGTCCTATAGCAGAGTATAAAACCGCAGCCCTTCTTCCAGCCAAACGGCTTTTCCCTCACCCTTAGCCTTAGCCAGACCCATGGCTCTGGGAGAACATGGGAACGCGCAAGCACAGAGGCAGTAAAGGGAAGCATCTGAGAGCACGATTCCTGGTAGATTATTACCATGTTAACACCCTGTTTCTGCAGGCTAGGGGACGTGTTAACCCCCTTGACTTCCTCACAATAGCCACCAACAGCAGCTCTGACACAACTGCCCCTTCCTCCAGCCCTACCCTAGCCCCAGGAAAGGTCCTCTTGAAAACTGCAACGCCCACTCAGAAACTGGCTTAGGGACCATTCTGCTGGCCACATTTCTGGGCACTCTTAGTTGGGTTGGAATGATGAGATCGTTTTTTTCTGCACCATGCCAGCACTAGGAACTGACTGCGTGAACGACTGAAAATGCATGGACTGGTCTCGAATTTTAAAATGTCAGGCTATCGGTATTAGGTTTTTATTATTATTTAAAAAACTCTTAGCATTTTAAATTTGTTTGTATCCTTGTTGTCAAAGAGACGTGAAGGATTTGGGTGGACCTCTATGCACGTGTTAGATTCACCTGAACTTATAAAGGTAGCACAATTAACGATGACAATGATACAGCATCGTAATGCGATTTAGCTTTGAGGAAAATGCCCTCTGCCAACGGTTGCTTTAATAACACAAGTCGCCAGCAAACATCTATCGTATGCCCATTTCATTGCGCCAGTCACCACACTTTGCAGGCGAGGCTCAAGAGTTGCATTATTGTGTCTCTATTATACTGATTCTGTGACAACGCTGAGATTTCCGAGCAAAATCAGAGAGATGCAGGTTGGAGAAAAGGTCAAGCTTTCCTATCAAAGAAATCATCCAGTTTGAGAAATCTGTCAGGGAACCCCCTCAAAATATTGAGTGAACTGCCTTCTATTGACTGTATTTAAATATACATATGTATTTTTTAAAATCACCCTGCAACCAGTCTTGAGAGAACCCTTCTTGTCATTCCTAGTTTCTCATCTACTCTGAGTTGAAACCATTTACTTAAATACTCTGCAGCAAAAAAATAAAACCTCGTCTTAGATATCTGCAGCAAATAGTTAAACCTAATTTGTGTTTATCATAACAAAAATACAGTCAAACTCGTATGCATACAGTATATACATACATTCAAGTATGTGGCTGTATATACCAGCCTTATGCAAATAATCATGTTACCCTGTTTATAAATATCACCGTTATAAAGTAAGATATTTCAAAAGTCATTGGTGGATTTTTAGATATTAACCACTAAACACTGCGCCAACAGTCTGTGAAGAAGTTGACCCTAAATAAGGTATTTCAATTTAAAGAGATCACATAAAAGTAACATCTGAGTTGCAAAATTGAGAGGTCATCTCAACTTGTCAAAATATATGAATGCTGCTTTTCTTTTAAAAGAAAAAAGAAAAATGCTCCTTTACTGCCCTTTAATTAGAAAAATAACATTATGCTGAAATTTTAAGACGAGAACAATTACATTTAAGATTTCATACAGGAGAGGGATAAGAGGGAAGCTCAGAATTGTTTTTATTAAATTGACAATCTACAATCATAGTTAAGACTTAACTAGGTAAAAATAGGCGACAAACTGAATAGCTGCAACCTAGAGGAATTGGATTAGTTCCCTTAGGAATTTATACATCAAACGAAAACCCTATTGAGATTGCTAATAGACCTATTCAAAATACGCCTTATTATAAGGAACTTGGTTTTTTAACAAACGAGGTTCCTAAACTTATTCCCAAAGTAGTTTTTCAGAGGTAGAAAGAGCATCTGGGAGAAAGGTGTATAGAGTGACAATTTAAAAAAATCCATCATAAATGACTAAGTACAAAAGATTAATTTTAGGAATGCTTGTTTAACTGTATAACCTGTTGTCTCTAAAGCACCGTTATGTGGGATTATCCACTTTCCTATTCCAATGAGAACTTTGGACGTTTTAACGTAGAGTTCAACAAAATATCATCTCGATCTTTAATAAAAGCGCTCGGAGAGATAAGGTTTTATAAAATACTAAGCGATTTAAAAAAAAAGAAAAGAAAAAAAAAGGCAATATGATTCCACGAACTGATGTCACTGTTCTGCAGTTCGTTTACCAGAACTAGCCAAACTTTCGCCTAATTTAAACAAGGCAGGTGAGTTAAATAAATTTGATTTATTCTCAATCTCCTCCCCAACACCCCAAAAGCAGCTCTGTATAATTTTTTCCCCAGTGTAAATAAATGATCCGATTGTGGAATTCAATTGTTTTTTTAAAAAATCATTTATAATTTATAAAGTGACAAAATAACATACTATTATCCTATGAATATTTGATTATGTACACTTTCAGCTTGAAACAATTTTGACTTTAAACCAGATTATCGACAAAAATGGTATAGCAAGTGAACATTTACTGTATTTTTAAAACATAATATACAAACTACTATTTAATATCCCGTAAAATGTAAATATGCATGAATAAACCTGTTACAGCTAATAAATAGCTCTGACAAAGTTGAAGCGATTACAAAATAATTATCTGGCTTGTAAAAAAACAAAAAATAATTTAAAAAATAAATGGGTGTTTCAGTACTCTTCTGTTTAAATGGTACCAGATATATCCCAGTCAAATTAATGTCAATGATAGGTTCGAATACAACTGACACCCAGAAAATCCGATGTGAATAGAGCAAATTTGTTCCTATAGCTTTGTGATGTAACAGTTTTTGAACATTAGAAAATTTGCTCTGGAATAAAACACACTGCTTAGTTAATTGCAAAGGCAGGGAAAGTCAAGATTTGAGAACCTGAAATACCCGTGGGAGGTAGTTTGAAGTGCAGGCTTCAATTAATGTAGAATATCTAATTTGACTATAGATTTCCTTTTTTACTTTGGTTTTAAAGTGATAGAAAAACAGATTTTTTAAAATGGTTAAAATTGCTGCTTTTTTTTAAATTTACAAAAGAGAGATGACAAAATTCCTAAACTGGTAACAGAGCATTAAACTTTCCTGGTCCAATTTGTATCTAATAAAGCTGAAATCTATCTTCCTTTGTTTTCGAGTCGTATAGTATAGTGGAAGTGTGTATTTGAAAGCTCCTTGATTACGTTTTGAGTATCTCTCTTCCCCCCACCCTTTTTTTTAGCACCAGTTTCAAAGTGGGTAGGTTTGAAATTCAGGACAAGTGTGACCCCTACCTGTGAATGTGGGGAAACATTCCAATCCGACCCTCAACCTCCGTTTATATATGGTAATCTCCGGACAGACAGATTTACAAATCCTATCAATGCTTGCAATATGCAGCGGCGATGAAGCACTAATTTAATCAAATTAACCAAATATATCAATGCAAAATTCGGGGGAGAGGGAATGAATTGAGGGAGGGGGAATCTTTCCCCTAGTGTATATCTTAATGTGTATTCCCCGGCTCTCTTCTTAATAACTCTGCAGCACCTTTGAAATAGTAATAAGGGCTAAATCTGGCATAAAATCGAACTCATTAGCAAAGTTCACCAGCTGATTACTTTGCATAAAACACGACACTGATTGGAAGTAATTAGGTTAAAAGCTGGTACTGTACTTCGATTTGGTGTTTCTATTCTGTATTTTTATATATATCCTTATTTAATCTCTTACTCATAAATACATCTCGTCTTCATTTTATCTCCTATATCATCCTTTCATTCTTTGACTATTTGCCCCCTCAAATTAGCCTAAATTACCACAACAAGTAGGCGCTCTTGTTAAACATTCCCACATTTAGACATCTCTCACTTTGAAAATCAGTTTCAGGTATTTAATGTTCTAAATGAAAACCCACACTTAAACCAACCAGCATTTAAAAAGTTATTTTTGTCACCAGTTATGTATGTATTTTCTCGGTGCAAAAACAAGTGTGTTTGATTCGGTTAAAATCTTCTTTTAATTAAAATATTTGCATTTAACAATAGCGACTGCAGTTTTTTATCTAGTAAGTATAACCTATTTCCTTTATTAATTTATTATACTTTAGCTCACACCCAAGGGGGAAAAAATCAATAGGCGGCAAAAAAGTTAAAATAAACGTGTGTGTATATATAATATATATTTATATATATATTTTAAAACTATGAAACAATTCGGGAAAAGACACAAATGTATATATTTATATTACGAAAAAAACAACATTAATGCCTGTACAGGTGTCTTGATTTCATAAGTTACTTCAAAGATACTGTATTATCAATTTAAATACAAAAAGCTACATTAAATATACAGAATAAGATTTAATACAAATCTTTCTCCTTTTGTGTGTAATTTTTGTTTTGTTTTCAGTTGATTAAGACATTTCTGAGTTCTTTTATACTCAGCCATTTCCTATGAACTATAAACTTTTGACTAGGAGTGTGTCTTTGATTTTGTTTGTTTGTTTGTTTTTGTTTTGTTTTTCTCTTGATAGTGGAAAAATAACTGCCAAAGCATTAAATAAATTAAAAAAACCAAAGTCCCAAGGGGAGTTATCGGAGAAGAAGCCAATATTAAATGTTGGACATACCTTTCTTCAGTTCGTAAGGTGAGTCTTTGCAAAGCTCTACTTGGGATTGGCTTCTGATCATTTTAGTTTCTTTAGCCAAGGTTTCTGCTCTGTTTAAAATAGTCTGGTTTAATCCATTGAAATGGCTGCTGGGGGCTCCGGCGGCCGGGTTGGTGCCAGCGTGGCTGTGAAGATGCCCAAAGGTGCTATAGTTCGTGTAGCCCGGATAAAACGGAGACGCGTAGTAAAGGGGCCGGGAGAGGACGGCGCTGTTAGGAAAGGGGCACTGGGAGGAGGGGGACCGCGACGGGGAATGCGAGGTGCTGCTCCCGGCCAAGGGAGGGCCCTGGTTCGGCCCCGCTCCCGGAGACACCTCGCTGCTGCTCTCTTTCGATTTGTCCGCGGAGGTGGCGATCTCGGCCAGGGACCAGAGTTTGGGTTTGGCGAGGGCAGCCTGCTGCGGCGAGTGGATCACCGACGTGCTGTTGCTGGAGGGGGCGATGGGGTGCAGCTCTCCCGGGTGGGGGGCGGCGGCGGCTGCTGAAGGGGGCCGGTACTGGTGCTGGAGCTCCTCGCCACCCGCCGCCTGCTGCAGGATCCGGCTGGCCGGGCATTGCACCAAGGCCGCAGGGCCGGCCGCTTTGGGGGGGCCCGGCCTCCCCTCCAGCCTCTCCTCCGGAGGCTCTTTACAATCCGAGTCACTCAGGCCGCCCTCGGCCTCCTGGCCCGCCGGGGAATGGGGCTCCTGCAGCCGCTCGCAGCCCGGGGCTGCCTTCTGCTCTTCTCCTCCTCCTGTGTGCAAAGGGGGAAGAGGAGGGCGACAGAAAGTTTGCGAGGGCTCCTGATCCCGAGCCCAAGTTCCCCCACAAACACACATACACACACGGAGCAGAGGGAGTGAAAGGGGCATCCCCGGGCTGCCATGTCCCTCTACGCGCACACAACTCCCCGCAGCTGGCAGGTGACATTCCGCCCTGGCCTCTGAGCTGCGGCTCAGTGGGGCTGGGGGGGGGGGGGGGGAAGGGGCGAAGAGGCCACAAGGCCATGCCCGGCAGAAACACCCGCTGCCCCGCAGCGATCTCCCCTCGTTCCATCGAGGCAGCTGGCCGCAGAGACCGCCACGCCAGAACAATTCCCCCCAGGCGCCAGTCCCGCTGGGGTCCTACCCTGGGATGTGCTCGCCCTCTCCCCAATCCCCTCTACCTGTCTCGGGAGCCTCCGGATCGCCCTTTTCTTCCAGCTTCTGGGGCTCGTCCTCGTCGTTTTTCTCGAGGTCGATATTCTCCTCTTCTTCCTCGTCCTCGCTCCGGTTCCTGGGGGTCCAGGTCATTTTATTCTCCTTTTTGAGCCGCCGCCGGGCGTTGGCGAACCAGGTGGAGACCTGGGTGAGGGTCATTTTGGTGATGATGGCCAGCATGATCTTCTCGCCCTTGGTGGGGTAGGGGTTCTTGCGGTGCTCGTTCAGCCAGGCCTTCAGGGTGGCGGTGGCATCCCGGGTGGCATTTTTTCGGTAGGCTGGATCTCCATAGGGGTAGGAGCCCAGGGGCGCCGCGTAGGGATGGTACCCCAGGGAACCTGCCATACCTGGTGTGTGGTCGTAGGGTGAGCCCTGGAGAGGGGGTGGGGGGAAGCGGGCAAAGAGCAGACAGTGAAATCGCTAGCAAGGGAGCAGCGCAACTGTCACAACACAACCAACAGTGACACAAGGGCAACAAAATGGGGAAAGAGCCCAAACAATTACTCGCTCCCCCAATTAAAGTTTGGAGAACAGGAAAATCCCAGAGGCTGTTCCTAGATTGAGGCAGTCACGCCTGGGCTTCCCCCACTGAGCTGTTTCAAACAGAAAGGAAAAATGGCCTAGAACTTTTTTGGTGCATGTGTCTCTGTATGCAACAGACACACAAAGGCTACGGAGCACATCTGTTCTATCAAATCTGTACACGTTAGCCCAAAGGGCAGAACTGCGAAGGGAAGAGACTGTTCTTCATTCATCCACCCTCCCCCCCCAGCAAATAGCCAAGTTTCTGACTTGTGAAGAAACGCTAACCTGACAATCCATTTCTGCCCTGACATATTATTGTGTTAAGCAGCAACCAATTGCTTTTCCCACTGTCTAATTGAACATAACCTCTCACACAACCACCGCACCAGGACGGGTTTTTTTTCCGCCATGGAGGCATTCGCTTGAAAAGAGAAAGCAGGAAAACTCTGCTAAACTCTGCCGAAACCCGCGCTGGGTGAGTGGAGATGGGCGACTGTTATTTTTCTAAAGGGCTGCAGGGTTTTTCGCTGCAGCCAGAGACCTGTTCTTGGCGAGAAAGGAAAAAAAGCCAAAACCAGACTAACTTGTTTTTCTAAAAAATAAATAAAATAAATACCCCAGATGGGCCCCCAAATAAACAAAAAATTTCTTCTACGCTGAAAATATATTAAACGGGGGCGGGGGAGGAAGCACATGGCCACACCGTACCATTTTTTTTTTGGTTATTATTAATGCTTCCAAATCGGATTGCAGAGATGGGATTACGGCTTTGCAGTATTTGGGAAGCCTAATGAAGGTTGTGCAGAAGAAATTTACATAGGTTGATCAGCCTGATTCCGAGGCTGGCTCTTGGATTCATTTTATTTTTTTACAATTAAAAAAAAATGAGGAGCGGTATCACACAGATCATTTAAAAAAAAAGACATTAGTCAAAGGTTTCCTTTGAATTGGCTGTTTGGTGTGTGCTTCCCCTTGCAAAGCCCGTAATTGAAAACACAATAGTTGCATTAATTATTCCTCTATTACTTCTTTGCTAGAACCCGGCACCCCACCCTCCACAGAGACACTTTTGATCTAGCAACAGTGTATACAAATACAAACACAAAGTTGCAAGTTGCGTTTCCCCTGGCCTCTGCAGCGCTCCCAAGTAGAACCCAACCCACCCCTACTCGAGCGAGGGCTGGCTAGCCGGGCTGGGTGCCGATCATTGTTGCTCTTACCACGTATGAAGTGAAGGCGGCGGCGGCGGCGGCTGCCGGGTCTGTGCCGTACTGGAGATGGGAGTTGTAACCGGGCGAAGGGGCAGTAAAAGCGGTAGATCCGGCATAAGGCGAGAAAGCGGAGCCCGAAGAAGATCGCCCAAGTTCATCGGTCCTGGGTCCCGAAATCACGCTGGTGCTGTAAGCCGGACACGAGTAGAGCGCCAAGGAAGCGGAGGGCTGGTACAAGTAACCCTGAGGATACGACATGGCCAAACACATACATATACCCGGGCAGCAAAATAGCCAGGAGCTGCCGCTCGCTTTGATTTTTCTAGGTGACTTTTTTTTTTTTTTCTAAGCCCTCTTGCCAGGTGGGGCAGCGGGCGGGTTAGCAGCAGCAGCAGCCCAGCACCTTGCTCCTGGTTCTCGGCTGCTGCCGCTGCTGCTCGCTCGGCTCGCTAGCTAGCAAGGGTGCCTTTCTTTTTTTTTTTTTGCCTTTGGACCGCGAGGCTTTTTTCGAGATCTGCTTTTGGCTTTGCGAAAGGTCCTGCCAAGATGCTAAGTTGGAAATTGAGGATTCTGACGCCTTCTACGCGGCGCGGGGGAAGCTCCTCCTTCCCGGAGTGTTGTCAGTGGAAGAAATGGCTGGATCCTGCGGGGCTTGCCACAACCAAACCCAACCAGCAGGAGAGCCTCTCTCTCTCTCTCTCTCCTCTCTCGCTCGCTCTTCCCCAGCTCTTAGGCTCAAGTGCGCCGGCCCCTGGCTGGCAATCACATCCAAGCCATTTAAGATCAGCTCCAACTTTCTTCATTTGCTAAATACTGTGTGGAGCCATCACATTTTCCTCTTGATTTATGGCCGGGCTGCACTAGAATGCAAGCCAATCCGTTTATGAAAAAATATATATTTAATAAGATTTATTATCCATTCTCCCCCCCACACACGCTCTGCCCCCATTCCCTCCCTCCCCTTCCCCCCCCACCAGTATATAATTTGATGCGATCCCTTAAAAGGGTGAGGGAAGCTGGGGGTGTGAAATATACTTTCAATTAAAAAAAAAGAAAAATCTATTTTCAACCGGAAAATTATATTTAGCGGCTAGGATGGGAGATTTTATATATATATATATATATATATATATATATATATATATATATATATATATATAT